ATCTATTTTAAATTTTGTTCATCACTATTTCCAAAAGGAAGGTTCAAAGTATCAGCTCACCTGTCCAACGGTGACATCTTGGAGTTTCTTGCTGAATACAGGCATGTAGGGCAGATGTACAGCAAGCTTCTCTTCAACCGTAAGCATGGCAGCAGTTTCCAGAGCTCCCATTTTGTTGAAGACCTGGAAACAGCAGCACATGAAAACTGCTGTCATGCAGCTTTACTGGGCTCGATTTCATCAAAAAGAGTTGTTGGGCCCATAAATGAGAATCTGATGGAATCTCAGATGGAAAAATGGAGAAATAATCAGATTAATAGCGGTTTTAGGGTTGGAAGGGCATATTCCTAGCACGCTAGTTCTGTTACTCTTACACGTTTCACCTTGGTGAGGCCTGTAGACACTTGCCAACTGTAAATGAAGGCCGCACTCAGCTCATGGCCCCACCAGGCCAAACTGTGCCACTGGATGTGCAGGTGGGAGGAACTAAAAAGACTTTTTTCCTCGACTTCCAAAGCGAAATGAGTTGCACTTGATTAAATTCAGACTGGACCATCAAATTCAATAGCGCATTGTATACGATCACGAACTCCGCCACAGCCTTCTGGACGAACGCCATCGAGAGATTCTGCCACGCGACCGTGATTCGGTGCCTGAGTTCAGCGAGGTCGTTGATTTCTCTGTAGACCACCCTGTTGAGCTCCGCCTGAACCCGGTAATTGAGGGGGTTTAGGTCAGGTGACACACTTGGATATTCCATCTTCTTCAGGTACTCAACGCCCTTCGATTCCAAGTAGGCGAGAGTTTTTCGATTCCATGTGCTGGCACCCAGTCTTGTAGCAGTACGAGTTTCCAAGATGGTGCAAGAGACGACATGAAGGCACGACCCTACTCGAGCTGTTTGTGACAGTCAGCGTTCACTTTCAGTCCGGGGTCCACGAAGAAAATATCGGTCTTCCCATTCCAGGAACTTCCGGTCCATACCATCAACCCGCGCCTTGGCGACTGCGGTGAAGATGATACTGTAACGACGTTGTCCGGCTGCGATTGCAGATGGCTTCATATTTTGGTGTACATGAAGGTGATGGACGAGAGCCTGGTCCTGCTTATCGTGAAACATCTTGGCCCTGGTACTATAATAGTATAAACCTATGTGTCTCGGGCGGAGTGTCTTTTTTTGCTCCTGTTCAAATAAATAGAAGACAACAAGTGACAGAATATTCTCCAAGTCCCTGTTGTTGTAACCTCGGCATCGTTGTTTATTCTGTTGAAATTTCTATGCCACTCAAGTGACAACTAGCCGCATGTGACTGCGGATATACGGTGGAAGCTTGGTGAGTGCACTCTTCGTGTTGTGTGGGCTTTCAGGTTGAGTTCCGAACACGCCATCGGAACTGCTAGGGTTGGTTGGGCGCTTAGTAAGGTAGTGTTCATTTCCTAACCTCGAAACGCGTTTAGGCCTCTGAAGAAGACGACCAAGTCGAAACGTTAGGCCGTAAAATAAAGATTTCCACCTAAAAACCTCGAGTGGCATAGCAATTTAAACAGAATAGACAAATGATAGAATATATCGCAGCAAGGCTCATTCCACACCTTCTGACACCACCCTACCACCACCAGCCCCGCACCCCCCAGATTACAACGCATCAACTGCAACTGTTTCTACGGGTACCTTGCAGACGTATTTCCCGTGATGTTCAGGCCGCGCCTCGTAAATCTTCAAGAAGGCAACTCGTCCATCAAAGTAAGTCCGCAAGGTTCGGCTTTCCGCAACCAGTTTTCCATCGTGGTACCATTCAACTGTTACTGGAACTGAGCTGTCCACTTCGAGTTCCAGAAGCTCACGATTTCCTGGAAAAAAATAAACATGTTGTCATTGAAATAATTACTGTGACCTGAAAACGTACCTGCTGTTACGACGGCATCTTCGAGAGGACGAGTTATCACAGGGGCACGAGCATCATGCCATCCAGAGGATGAAGATGGTCTGCTGGGGCTTGGACAACGTGAAGTGGACGGCGTGACTCGGCCGAAACTCGTTCCTGAGTGAAGTTAGTTTGAGGAATTTGGAATTGTACTGAGCATTTCAGTCAGGAGCCTTACCGATAACTTGAACATGACTGTGAGTGAAGTCTTTTCCTGACTCATTGACGGCTTCACAAGTATATTCTCCGGAATCTCGAAGGGTGGATTTCATGATGTTCAATCGTGTTAATCCTTTTCGATCAGTGTAGTGAAGCATTCGGTTTTCTAGCATCAGTTTTAAGCCGTCCTTGTACCTGGAGGAAGCGAAATGATAGAGGGAGTATGCAACCATCTCCAGGAAGAACACAAAAAACGTTCATGAGCATGGTGCAGTGAGGAGCGATAGGGAAGGAAATACGAGATTTTTCAGTGTTTTTCAGTGGTATAACCCCATAGATTCTACTCGCAGGCTCAACGTGGCGCAGGGGTGAACCGGCTTTACATGGCAAATGTGCAGGTCGAAGAGCCTGGTTAGCTATGCGTTGTAAAGACAACCTGTACACTCGCTTTCATGCATCCAGGTCTCTGCCATTTGTGGGGTGAATGGGGGCGCAGTTCGGCAATGGGGAAGGGTGGTGGGGGGGGTATTTTGCGCTTTTGCTCCTTCACTAGTTCTGGTTCAGAATCATTCAGGTGAAACCTGTGAACTCGAGCAGCTCGTCTAGCCACCATGGTAGAGCCTGTCAACCCTTGTAGGCTCACGAAACATCGCTCTAGACGGGTCGATTCATCGATTAGAAGTAGCAAAGGTGCATGCCCCCACGTCGCAGAACTGCCCCGTGAATGGGTGGGCAGTAGCGTGCCACTTTCGCTGGAGTATGGAGACGGCACTCGTGTATCACTACTCTCCAGCCCCGTTGGCCGTGGTAAGGGATAAGGCAGCGTTCAGACTTCGCGAGGGCAGCGCTTCGGTTGCGCGTTCGGCGCAATCGATGCCGTAGAAAGCATGCGCATCGATCGCGTCGAACGCGCGACCGAAGAGCTGCCGTCGCGAAGTCTGAACGCGGCCTAACGGGCCTGGAGGGTAGTGATATACGAGTGTCGTCTTCATATTCCACCCGCGCTGCCTCCTCACGTCTAACCGCTGCCCAGCGACCCAGCTATCTGTCTGCGCTGTCTCACTTCTTGTTGTTCTCTACCGCTTAATGTGTTTTTTGCTAAGGGACCCTGGAACCGAAGCCCTGAGGAAGCGCGGACGGAGTATGGATACGGCACCGGGAGTCACCACCAGAAGTGGGACCCTACCGCAGCTGTGGACCAATTCACCTCACACACGGTAGGGCTTGTGCTCGGAGGTGAATACACGGTCAGTCTTTGAAATAATGTGGAACCAGAATCGAATATACCAGGTAATAGACGGTGAAGGTTTGCCAGTCACCATACATTCGAGATGAATTTCTTCGTGCTCAAGAACAGATCGATTTGTGAGCAATTCGACGAATTTCGGAGCCATGTGATCTTTTTTCGATGGAGCTAAAAAAACAACTGGAAATCGGTTGTAGGGCATTCCAAAGCAGAAGCAATAGGGTGGGTGAAAGACAGTGCCAGTACGATCCACTTTCTCTCGCTAAATTTTCTCTTCCAAGATGACCGCTCATTCCCCATCCTATCTCGAATCTACCCATTTTCCCTAATCCTCAAAAATCTTTTAGGTTGTAGTTTTTCTCAAGAAACTGCCGTCTAGAGGTGGGCAGGGGGGGGGTGGATTTTACACCTCTCACAAGGTATAAGAAACACTGGTTGGTGGCAGTTTTTGAGAATCAGCTGCTAAGAGGGGGGGGGGGGACTCAAAGCCAGATACGACCCCTTCCCTGCACAGCAACCAAGTACGACATCCCGTACTTGGAAACCCTTCTGATGGTGCTGCAACTGCTGCAACCTGTTCCAGAGCGAAAAATCGGTCTAAAAACTCACGAATAATGCGAACGGTGCTCGTCGACTCAGATAAGCCATGAATATTTTCTGCCACACAAGTATAGCAGCCAGCATCATCTTCGGTGGAAGAGAAAATGGTCAAAGTACAAACGCCATCATCACATCTGATATCGCAATTGGCTGTGGGCACTTTTTCACCGTCCTTCAGCCAAATGATGTCAGGGAAAGGCGCACCGGTGACAACACATGTTAACACCATTTCGGTTCCCTTTGGTATCTGAAATGATTCAGTGGTTTTCAAAGGATGAGTTACAGAAACAACCCATTCAAAGGGAGAATTCAAGCTTTTTCCACCCTTCACTGTTTCACTCTTTTGAGGCCACAATCCGACTGGAAGTTCCCTTGGCGATAGAGCTGACCAGAAGTAGCCCTAGCGAGTATCCCACGAACAATGCTCCGCTCGGAGTAAAAACACCTTGCAACCGCGCCAAAGGCACCGCAGGCCAGCTTTGGCTTCAGCGCCATTAGCGTACGTACCAGGGCTATCGGAAGCGATATTCGTAATCAGGAAGACCTCGTGATCGGGGAGATCTTTCGGAACACAATTTCAGCAGATTCGGTGATTCCAGGTGTTCTGGCGCTTCTGCTTTCACATATCCAGGCGATTTCATGTCAAACGAATATGACGCTTACATTCAGGGGACAGAATATCTTGGGAGACCGAATGCCAGGCACTCCACCCATGCTGGAAACTTTCCGTCAAAACCTGGATTGAATTTTGGAGGGTTGGGCAGCAAGGGTGAATAGCTTTAGAACTTGAAGGAGAAATAATGGAAAAATACTTACTTCTCGAGGATTAGCTAGGGGCATTCTGAAACGGGGCGCTCGCGTGTAGTCGACTTTCTTCGCTCGTTGGAATCTGGATTCTCCTACTCGTAGGGTACATGTACATTGAGCTCTGCCAACCACATTTCGTGCAATGCATCTGAACACAAAGTAATTATCAGAGCTACGTACCATGTAATATTATATAGTGGTTAAATAATCCCTTACTTGTACTCTCCAGTGTCTTTTGGCTGAACGTTCATAATAGTGAGACTGTACTCTCGTTTTTCGTCATCATCCTGCGGTCGATAACGGTCAGTGTAATGAATTTCCTCGCCGTTATGGTACCTAGAAGAAAAAATGCTCGTTTCGCTAGTCAAAGCTGATGGAAGCTGCGTAAGTCGCTTTGTGCACGCCTTTTGCAGGGTGGAACAATACCAATCAGCCGTTCTATGTTTACTAAAAATGCTGACGCACCAGAAAATTTTTGGTGGAGGATTTGCCGCGACTTTGACACTGAATCGCAACAGGTCGCCTTCTCCACATCGGACGTCTTCGAGAGGACGATTGAAGCTGGGAGCGAACTGACCATCAGGAACTTCTACAGCCAAGGAGCACGAGCTCTCGCATTGCCCGTAGGCGTTCTTTCCAACAACTGTCCATTTCCCTAAACAGAAATATGATGCCTATTACCTTAGCATTGCGAAGTGCGAACTCAACAGCAGCAGGTCTTTCCGGAAGGCACGAGAATGACTATGCAGAATAATTAAAACGATGAAGTACTTTATAGTTCGCCCCCTTATCTTTGGACTTTGCCCTACCATTAGCGGCACAGTCCAGAAATCGCGGGTAAGGGACTGAAGTAGGCATGCCAATGTGACCAAAACACTCAGTATGAAGGGGAAAAAGCTGGAAAAACCATGGCATGTGCTCAATAACACTCTCTACAAAGTAATCTTTGACGAAGTGCCAGCAAAAAAGGCGTGATTGGACGAGTTCACCGAATAGTGGTCCTTTGCCAGTACGGCCGCCGCAAGTTGTGCCAGCTCGCTCCTCATTGATGACTTTGCCTTCTTCTTGATCGCCCCAAGCATGTACAGAGCGGTGGGCAGGGCCAGTGAAGGTGGGTGGGGCCAATTAGGGGAACGGCGGCGTGAGGGCCCTCGTCGCCGCCTGCCACTTAGAACCCATTTACTTGTTCGAGAGACAGAGGAATTTTCCAGCTTATTGCTGAGCGTGCGTCCCCTGAAAGGCAGTGCGCACGATGGGTGGAGGTGGGCGGTCATCGCCAGCGCACTGTTGGAAGGGCTGAGGGAGACCGTTGGTCAAATTGCTCATGGGGGTGTGGCCAAACGCTCTCCTGCAGTCCTTTCACCAATGACGCTGGCAACAGTCGCCCACCTCCAGCAATCGCGCCCACCGCCTTCCAGCGACTAAAAATGGAACAGTCGTGCAATTCAAGTGACTCTTATATTTCACTAATGAAGTCCCTACAAATATAATCCGGTTTCCAACTAACCTTGATCATCCAGGCAAACACTGAGGATGGTGAGCTCGTACCGTCCTTTGTCATGCTTTAGCAGGTAGTCAGGATCGCTCTCATGGATTCGAAGTCCATTGTGATACCACTCAACAGACGGCTCTGGGAGGGTTGTATTCGTCACACAGAGGAATCTTCTGCTCGCCGAGTTTAACACAGCAGTCGACTAGCTGATGATGGAATGCGGGAGGCGAGCCTTCGATCTCCTCTCCTTCAAGAGTGATCTGAAACTTCTTGTGCTACAACGAATTTTCCTATGATATACGTAACGTAAAAGTGAAGCAGTCACCCTAAGACTGTGTCCATACTTTGCGGCAGCGTCCTCCAGTGACCAATAGCGTGCACCAGCGCGTGCGGCAGCTCAGCGATAGTAAGGTATAGGTACCGACTTAGAGTCTGACAGCGTCTGCCAGCGTCTGCCAGCGTCCACCAGCGACCAGCATCGTCGGGGGTGGAGAATGGGGCGGTAGAAGGGCAGAAGACAGCTGTTAGAGTATGGGAGATAGGAAGGTAGCAGATTGTTGGTATCCTCCTATCGTCCCATACTCTCTATCAGCAGCTGCTGCTAGTATTTGGTGGACGCTGGTAGACGGTGGCAGACGCTGGCTATGCCAGATCGATACCTACACTTCCCTGGCGCACGAAACACTGCTGGCTGCTGGTGGACGCTGGCAGTCGCTCGCAGATGCTGGCAGACGCTGGTAGGCGCCACGTCGATATCTGTACTTTCCTAGTCGCTGACGCTGCCGGACGCTC